ATATGTAGACGGAGAACAGGTGCTGGAAGTATCGGGCACGTGCCGAACGAGGAGAAAGAATGTTAAGGAGAGAGAAAAGAAGGCAACAAATTGCGAGTGTGAAGATGGCATGCCATAACCCTTTCCATAGATCTCTGTTAGGATTGGAATTAGTCAAGTTAGCGCAATTGACACACTCGCTATTGTAAAAGAGAATATTGAGGTATTGGGAAGAAACGAAGTTGACAGGACATACGCTGTGGCCTCTCTTCCCGTATTATCCTCTTCAGTAAGAAGTTGATGGCTTCACATAGCATCTGACCGGCAAACATGAAGAGGACTTCGACCTCACGCGTCGCCCAGATAAGGGTAAGATAAATAACACAGATTGCTTGTGGGGCCAGTGATAGTAAGGCGGAAACGTAGGATAGAGGATCTTCGGGGTTCTAATTATTTAGCACCAGGGTGAATGTCAGTTTCCGTCCCAGTCCAAAAGGGTTGCATTGCAATGTCGACGAACGAAAATAACAAGACTCACATAATTAACATGAGTCAAGGACAACGATGCCAGAGGAACCTCCATGTTATCCGGCTTCAAATGGAAGACCCCGCAAAAAGGTCAAACTGACTATATAAGCGCTTTTTTGTAAGATGCTATTAGCGAGGCTACTGATGTTATTATTTCTGTCAAATTGAGCAATATGAACAGACAAATATAATTAAATATGCCAAAAGGATTGATCAAGCTCAGATGCAATTAGTATGTATTATATTCCATCGCAACAGGTTTAACGAAGAGACTATTCTTTGTCAACGGGAGCTCGTGCCCCCTAAGTTGCGGCGGCTGTGGTTGTTCTTTTATCTATGCCCGACCGATTCGCGAAAATCGGCGGTCGCTGGTCCCTCCTCAAGCACGTCAGAGTATCCTTAGATACAAAAGTGATACAGAAGTCGGGATCCAGATTAGAAGCGAGAAATAAAATAAACAAAAATAAAAATAAAAATGACGAGAGAAATGATATGCCGAGAGAAAGAAACGGATATCCCTGTAAAACGGTGGCTAGAAGCCACCGAAACCTTTTGCGGACTCTTAGTGGTGCCTTGTCTGTCCGACTAACCCCCGTTGGGGCAGAAAGTCTAACCCAGCTATTTTTTTAAGGATGACTGCAAAATATATATTTTTGGCCGCAATCCCTCCAATTTCCCTCCTCTCACCACCATCTCTCTTCCACTTTAACTTCCTATTCCCACCTACAGAGTGTCAGCATGTCAGCACAGAAGAAGCGATGACCTGGGGAGATATCATTCCTACGTCCACTCATTCTATTCAATCTCCCATGCACCAATATCTAGATCCACCCTCCTAGGATCCGCAGTCACATAACCCCGCAATGGTGATGATAGGACCTGCTTTTTTAATGCAAGAGGATAACTTCAAATGACGCTGTTTTCAACCTTGGGGGCTGGTCTAACCTATCTATCCTAGCCGTCTGATGCTTAGCTGCTCCGGGACACTGTTCTGTTCATTAAGACCTCGTTCTTGATCCCCTCACTGGCTGTCCATATACGGCTCTGAACCAGGAACGGATTTTTGGGAAAACAGCCAAATAAAGAAAATGGACGAACCATGCGAAGATGAAAGGGCCGTTGAACTATCGTCTATTGCTGCGATATATCCAGAAATCGTTATAGATCCCAGTGCTAAGTTCAAGGCCTCTCTTGAACTTCCAGTCTCTCCCACAGTCCCTTTAAAAGTCCTTTTTCAGCGCCCAAAATCATCGCTTCCAACGCCTCCGACATCTCTCGACCCCGACGACAGTGGTACAGTGTCGCAGGTTGATGCTCAGGAAACGGCCCCCTTATCTCTCTCACATTTGCCACCCTTGAAATTAGATATCGAACTTCCTGATGGGTATCCCTCGCTTGCATCTCCTCATTTCTCCATCACGACAAACCCGGATTGGCTACCGCCGTACAAAGTCGCCGAGTTTTTAACTGATGGCAAGAGATTATGGGAGGAATGCGGAAAAGACTTTGTCGTTTTTACTTATATCGACCATCTACAGCAATTAGCGGAGAGGGCATTTGACCTTAGCGGAGACCATGAGGACCCCGTCATTTTTTCACGAGATTTAAAGGTTGCACTTATGGATTTTAACATTAAATCTAAGCGGGAAAAGTTTGAACAGGAAGGTTTCGAGTGTGGTGTTTGTTTAGAGCCCAAAAAAGGAGCAGTTTGCCATCGGATGTTGCTGTGTTCTCATGTCTTCTGCATCAGTTGTCTCCAGGGATTTTATAATGCTTGCATAAAAGAGGGGAATGTCGATAATGTGAAGTGCTTGGCCCCAGGCTGCGGGAAATATCCAGTACCTGAACCCCAAGATGGGGTTATGGGATATGCAGATCCGAGGAGCTATAAGAAAAAGGATCGAACTCTTAATCCAAGTGAGCTGTTACAGATTCCACTGGATCAGGAAGTTGTACAGCGCTATGTCCAGCTCAAAAGAAAGCGAAAGTTGGAGTCAGACAAAACAATTGTCTACTGTCCTCGCCAATGGTGTCAGGGAGCTGCTCGCTCAAAAAGACATCTGAAACGAGACGTCACAGTGGATGAGTTTGAATTATCGGATGACGAGTACGATGAAACCAAACCTGCCCCATTTGACCCGCTTGGACCAGAAGAACAACTCCCACCCATGTCACAACGTCTGTCGGTATGCGAGGATTGCAGCTACGCATTCTGCAGCGTCTGTAAAAAGGGTTGGCATGGCGAGTTGGCTTTTTGCTATCCGCGAAGAACTGCAGAGCTATCCGCAGCGGACAAGGCCAGCGAAGATTATATCAAAACGGACACTGCGCCCTGCCCAACCTGTGAAGCCCGCTGCCAGAAGGCAATGGGTTGCAACCACATGATCTGCTTCAATTGCAACACCCACTTCTGCTATTTGTGTTCGAGCTGGCTTTTTGAATCCAATCCATACAGCCATTTTAACGACCCAGATGGTGGTTGTTACATGCGACTTTGGGAGCTGGAAGAAGGCGATGATTCCGGACCTGCACCACCGGACTGGGATCGTGCAGCTGCTGAAATGCAAGACATGGACAGCGGTGATGACGACAACGCTGATGACCTTGAGTGGGAAATAGCCGCTGAAACCGGCAACAATGGCAACTGGGGCGGAAATCGCCAACGACAACCAGCTCCCGGCCAACCAGCAGTTCCTCGAAATGCAGTACGACATCGAGGTAATCGAGCACCCCCTCCCGCACCGGTGCCCCCAGGCGTCAATGCAAACCAACAAAATGGACGTCGCCCAGACGTTGCAGCTCGTGCTGCCGCTGCTGAACAACAGGTTCAGGCCCAGGCCATCGCTGAGGCTCGCGGTCATCAGCTTAATCCACCCAATCCCCAACCACCCAGACAGATGGCAGGGCTGCAGCGGTTTCTGCAGCTGGTGCAGAATGACCAGGAAGATGAATGGGATAGTGATGAGTTGGAGGAAGTTTATTTATAATATTTTCCACTCAATGTGCTTGAAATTTTCACCCACTACTTCCTCTTCTTATAAATATGTTGATGCTGGATTCCATCAACATACCGTTGCCATACATGCCTTGGATATACACCAAAGACTTTCTCCGGCTTACTTAAACAGGGCTACTAACATGACTAGTCTTGTGTTTTTCCGTTTCTTTTGTTTTTTATGAAGATTTCAGGCGCTCCACCATACGACCTAATGCACCCCCCAAAGGAGCTTACGTTCATTCTTGATTCCATAATTTTTGTCTGTGATATCCTTTGATTTTCAGTATACGACTTGTATTTATTCGACCCCAAAGATTTAATTCTCCATATAGCCCTTCCTAAATATTTACCTGACTTCTGTACCACTTGGCCAATGTAGATAGCTGTCATTGTACCTCTAATATATAAAAATTAAAACTCCCATCTCCCCAACCTCATAACTACTTCTCTTCCCCTCAATTTTTTTGACATTCATTCATCTGCACTCTTGTTTTCTGTATCTACTACAACATAAACTCATATTTCTCCTCTACAGATAATAAAAATATCAATGTCATATTTAATGGAGCAAAAATGAAGTGGCGGTTAAATATACACGACTTTGTGGTCACGTGTCTAACAGCAAATATTAATCAAAGAATCAAACCCGTCCCCATCCTGTAACAAACAGCCATATCCAAACCTCTGGAGGCAGCCTTTACACTCAGATCATAAAAAGACGTTATTCGACGCAGCGGTGAGCATGACGTTCCTAATCCATAACAATACTCTGGAGTCTTTATTAGGGGCCCGCCCGTAATATCAACCTGGGGTTGCCGAAGAAATCTTCAAAATGGTGTCTCACCCTCTAGTTCTACAGCTGAGCAATGAAGCTGCCCAAGGAGTTGACATATTTACCTTCCTACAGGTAAATGAAGCAAGTGCTATACCTAATAAGTATGGAGTATGGATAGGGAAAGCCTCCCACACACAGCTGCAACTGATTAACAGGAGTAAGGAATTATGGGAGGTATTATTCAATTTAACAGGGAGGGAAATAATAAACGAGAAGGAATAGGGCACATTGCAAATTTCCAAGGTTCTTAAGGTATGCCGGCAAAAACTCCGCAATTACCTGTAATTTGATTTAATCAATCAACCTATCGAATCCCATATTAGTTTGACATAGACACTCAGCGAACCGAGAGGATTCATGAAAGAGAGGTGAAACTGAAATCGTTAAACCCAGTATCGTTAAAGCTCAGCAGCACACGCATCACGTAGATGGAGACACCAAAAATAGTGTCAAAAAGACAACGGAATTGTTGTCAACGTTCACGGTCTCAACAAGGACCCTCTTGCAATCAGCTGCGTAAGTCTTCCATGAGGGCTCATCATATCTGTCGGCCATTCATAGAAGAGCTCATAATGCATCACCGTCAAATTCGAATACATTAACAGAAGGCGATAGCGGCGAGAAAATTCGATGCCGTGCCATTGTTCATGTCGGAGAGGTTCATCGACATCCGGTACCTCGAGTTTCCTGAAATGTGGAGGGTTGGCGTTTCACTTCTGGTTCTGCTGAAATTTGGGCTGCATGTTCTTTTGATTCGATAATAAGTTTCTCGCCGTGCCGGCGATGGTGGTGAGGTTGTGTGACAGTTGAGGAAGAAGCAGCGTTTACGTTCGTGGTGTCGTCCATAATTTGCGAAGACCTGGATGATCTGACTTCGTCCAATGGGAGGAGGTGATTTTCAACAGGCCCAACTGCGATTCCAACAAGGGGAATTTCGGGACGGTCGCCGCGTTTTTCTTGACTTTCGAATGGGATGATATGATCCAATCTAAATGCTTTACCATCTGGACATTCGGTCAGAGAGAGAATGACTACACGACCCTTTTGTGACGCCGCCAGAACAACACCCAGTTCGGGGATCTGATGCACCATATTGAAACGGTCCGCTACGCCAAGATTGGAGGTATTGCTGCTTCCATCCTGGAAGAGAGGGTCATGTAAGATAAATGATGCTTTTTTGGCGAATGGATGGGCAAACATGTGGACTACTCGTTCTGAGAAATGGAGGATTGGGAAATCGGCGAAAATGAGGGGTCTGTGGGTATCTGCTTCCTCTGAACCAGACAACCAGCTTGAAATATCCGGGAAGATTTTTTCTGGTGTATCACCACCCTGGCTATGTTGTTGGAGACTTTCGATCAGAGTAAGGTCGGAACCACTTCCGCCATTTTGAAACGCTGCGTATACGTAGTTGTGAAACCCGGCATAGCTTTCAACTACACTGTCAACGTCACCACCATGTTCACTCTCGCCTTCGACTTCCTCCTCCTCCTCCGGCTCGCCCTCATCTTCGCTATCGGCCTCCTGGGCATCGAAATCATCAATATCATCGAGTTCATTTTGAGGCAAGTCTTGTGCTGTATCTATTACAGAAACAAGAAGAGCATCGATGAGCTCAGCGTCTGTGAGGAGATCTGGAGCGTCGCCTTGGAGAGAGGGAAGCGTATTTGCGATGCTCTCTGAAGGAGTCTCCATCAAGGACTCTACCGCTGGTGAAGCCGGACGAGATGAGATATCTATATCAGATCCCATTGAGAAGTTCCCATCCAACTCCTGATCTTCGACGCGGGAATTATCCGGATGCTGTGTATCTTGCCGCGTATACCGCATTCGTCGGGCGATTTTGCTCAAGTCATGTACATTGTCATAATCGGCGAGTTTGTGCGGAGTGCCACCACAGGCAATTTGAAGCGTGGCTTTAGGCCTAAAATTCCGCGGATCAATTGCTAGAACATTCCATCCTACTCTGCGGCTAGGAGAAGGCAACATTTAGTCAAATATTCAGATTTAAGCAGGTGGAAGTAGCCTTACTTGTCATATTGGTTACCAGGGTGTTTGCGAAGGCCCCGCTGAAGATCAATGATTTTCACAGGGGCTGGATGATGCCAGATATTGAAGAACATGAGTTTGTTACTGATATCAGTACTAACCAACCAGTCACCATAGGGATCAAGATTGGAGTTTAAAAACCCAATGTTCGGGATGTTGTATCGATGGCCAACTAAAGTGAACCGGATATTACGTGCGCGGCGTTGATCTTGGCTCATCCGACGGAGTGTGCTATACTGCGATTCCAGACTTACATTTGTCCATTCCAAGGCGTCACCAGAACTACGAGCATTCACCACATTTCCAGCAGGTGTTTCGGGAGCTTCAGGATCCACCAATGCAAAGGCGTAAACTGTAATACACCACGAATTCGAGCTCACGGCGACGAGGCGAGCATTTGTGTGTACTGCAAGTCCCCAGGCACTCTGGCCCACCCAGTCGCTGAAAAAACACTCGACTAGCTCTCCAAGTTCTCTGGGTTTATTAATTCCAGTGGCCCTGGCTTCCTCGATGACCGCGAAGATTCGCTCCGTCCGGTAGGCTGCCACGTTACCATTATCGGTAGCAAGGAGTAATATCTCTTCGTGACCGAGATCATCGACGCGAATAACGTTTATGGTTTGTGGATTTTGTGGTGTGATGTAGGCTCGTGCCCGGGGATTTTTCATTACGGGTGTTATTATTATTTCGGGCTGAGGCGCAAGCGCCCGTCCGCGGCCGGATGGTTTGTAGACATAGATTTCATCACCAAAGGCAACAAAGTAGAGGTTGCGGTGCTGAGATAAAGCGGTCTATAGAGACATTGTCAGCTAGTAATGGCGAATATGTCGCAAGAATATCTATAAAATGTACCAGATTGTTTCGCCAGCTAGAAGGTCTCAGCAGAAGCGGATCGGATCCTCTAACTCTGGAATAATATCATCAGCCAGCGTTCGAGTTTGTTGGGCTTCCAATGACATGGGCATACCGCGGAAACTGTAATCCAGTTAGTCTATCAATCTACTGCAAGTAATTGCAGAGTGTCCATACATGGTCACTAGCTAACTCGACGCCATGCTCTTTCACATAGATCACCTCATCACGCTTTCCAGCTAGGTAGACGTCAAGGGAGCAGCTCCTCTTTGACTTTTGACGCTTTCCCCGCATTGGGAGCATCGACTGTTCCACACAAAAGCCACACTCCACATCAACGGAAATTTGCTAACTCTTTCAGAACAAGTGGCAGGGGATTCGCACTGTCAAGTTCGTCGAGGTTTTAACTGTCCACAGTAAGGAAGAAATTGGAAGGGCCAAGAAAACGAATTCAACACTGAATGGTCGATATAGTGCACTACTGTGAGATATGAGTGTTGAGTTATTCATGTCATGTCAGAGACCGAAGTTGGGGAGGTTTTTAATGAAAGTGGGCGTGAGGTCATAGCGGGGCTCTGCTCCAGTGTTAGGCGGGGATTACATTTTTCCTCAAAACTTCACAGACCAAAAATTGGCCTGTGCACCTAATGCCAAGCCTTAGTCAGTTCATAATGCGGGGTAGTTTTGCTGATGTATCAAGCTAGTCTGGAATAGGAAAGGCTGAATTACGGCAGATGTTCAGATAGTGCTTGGCATTCAGAACCCTCTCTAAAATGCCTACGTCAAGATTACTAATCTTTCCTTCCAACATGGTGAGGGAAATGTAAATAAAAATTACCCCACAAATGTATCCTAAGAAGGGAAGAATACTAGATTGGAGTGGATGAATCCTGTGCTCCCGGACAGTTGTGTTCGCCTCATTTGTAAGATAGCTACTAGATAGGTAGTCGCCTACAGGCGTAGCTCTACCCGCCCTATAGTTTGACTCTGCGCGGCTGCGCTAGCAGAGTCACATGACATTAACCAAACCTGCGAGAACCTGGAGCACACACACACACACACCTCACACACACACAACGTCACGATCGTTATACAAAAACATCTTAATCAATCCTGATCACATCCCTATAAGCTCTCTCCCATCCCCTCAGGCAGCAAGCCTGATGGCGTGCCGACGCAGCGCCGCCAGCGCGCCCAGCCCCCCAACACCACCGAACGCGTCCCGAGCCTTGACGCGCATCTGCTCCCCCATACGCCGTCCACCCAAGAGACCCCATCTCCTCACCCCAATCGCCCGCCGCACATGTGAACTGAATGACATGGAGTCTCCAAGCTCCCCTACACCAGCAGGCAGCTCAAATAGCAGAAATGTCGCACCAATTCACCTCAACCTACGTGGCCCGATGGCTAGCGATCTCCTAGCCGCCCACGAGGCTGAGGCACAGAAATCCCATGCAGAAGCACTAGCGGCTGCAAATATGCTTGATCGGATTGAAGAAGACCTAGATGTCATGAAGGCAAAAGGCCTATCAAGGGCACTGGCCCTTGGAGCCGCTGTGAAGGCGTTAGTCAAGGACTGGTACAATGGAAGTCTAGAAACAGCTAAGCAGTCCACCACAATCAAGCCTGCTGGCTCCACTGGTGCAAATGATGCAAGAGCTCCTACCTACGCAAAGACAGCTGCAGACAGCACCAATGTAACAAAAACACCAGCAACCATACTGCAGAAACCCCTGCTTAGGAATAACCCCAGAGAAGGAAAAACACCACGAATCCTCGCGCGCCTGCCTTCAGATCATCTAGCTCGCAAAGCAAGCCCAATTGCTACTCTTAGAAAGCTGAAGGCGGAACTCCCAGGGCCTTTGGCAGCAGCCATCACAGCAGTTCAAGCCATCCCCACAGGCATTGCCATCATTCCTAGAAGCTTGCAAGACATGGAGGCCCTGCTAGCCCAAAAGAATGTTTTAGCAGCCACCCTCACCAATACTCAGATAGAGAAGGAAGAACATTGGATCACCTGCCTGATTCCTGGGCTGCCCATGGAGATTAGTGACTATGGTGGTGGAACTCTGCGTCTCTCAGCAGAATCCATGACAGAAGAATTCACACTCCAAACCAGAATCAAGCCTGTCCAGAGTCGCTGGGCAAAAATACACCCTGGAAACCCAACAGCCACTCTTATATTACACTTTTCACAAGAGACAGCAGTAAACCTGCCATCAAAAGTGGAACTATATGGATACCAAAGACCAGTGATCAGAAAGGCACCTAAGGTCAAAATACAACAATGCAGCAAATGCTGGGGATTTCATCAAGAGAGATACTGCCTCCGCGTCCCTCGCTGCAAAAAATGCAGTTCTAAGAATCATGTGAAAGGAAATCCATCCTGTCATAAGGAGAATGAAGCATGTGGATGCCCCAATCGCTGCACTAACTGTCTTGGACCACATGCCGCGGATGATCCATCCTGCCCCGCCAGACCAGGGATAAAGAATGGGACTGTTCAAAGGCACTCAAGAAACCAGCTGAGGGATATCCGCAATGCACAGAGTAAGGCATACTTGGCCAAGGCAAGTAACAGCAAATGCGGTGGTCGAGGGCCATCAGCAGACCTGAGGTTGAATGATTCTACTGAGCGTAGATCTAACCTCACACCAACATCAAACACAGCACCAAGCACAGCATTGAGCACAGCATCAGGCACAGCATTAGGCATGGCGCCCAACCCAACATCTAATGCAACACCCAACACGTCATCTCACGCAACAACACCCTCCTTTCAGCTACTCAATGAAGAAGAACTCTAGATCTCCGCAATTCCTGCAGATTATGCAAGTCAACGTAGGAAAAGGGGGCCCAGCACACGAGACGGCCCTCAATCTAGCGTTTGAAAGAAAGACTGACATCCTTCTCATACAGGAACCCTGGATTCACAGGAACTTAAGCCAACGCATCTCCAAAAAGCACCCAGCATTCAACTGCTTTGCCCCAATTGAAAAGTGGGACAGGAAGCCACGGGTCCTCACCTATGTGCGTAAACACCCACAAATCCATGCTCATGCAGTCCCAGGCCCCTGGGCAGAAAACCGGGACATCCACATGCTGCACATACAGGCCTGGGGTCTACAGCTTCAGACAGTCAACATATACAATGCACCCCCAGGCGCAGAGGATCCTGGACAAGGTGTGGGCTGTCTTCTCTCCTGGTCTGTCCCAGCACTCCCGTTGCTCCTTGCTGGCGACCTCAATATCAAGCACCCCGTGTGGCAACCAGGAGTGCCTCCAAGCATGTGGGCGGAACCATTCCTGCAATGGACCATGAATTTCAACTTTACTCTCACCATGGACCCAGACACTCCCACACGTGGGCATAACATGATAGACCTGGCCTGGGCCACCCCGGAATTAGTTATCAAAGGAGTGGACACACAGGTGGACAGATCCCTTTACACTTCCTCTGACCACCAGACTCTTCTCACCAAAATCAGCCTTCCACAGGGCGCAAGGCCTGACAGGCCAACCCATTTTTTCCGTCTCGACACCATGAATGAGAAGGTCTTTAACCAGACGCTGGAGGCCTATAAGCCAAAACTAGACAAACTATGTGATATCCCAGAGTACCCCAATACAGATCAGCTGGATGCCCTGGCTAAAGGTATCACAGATGCACTAATAGCTTCCCTGGAAAGTTCCACCAAGAAGAGCACCGGGCAAGGCACAGGTCAGCCATGGTGGAATGAGGACTGCCAGAAAGCAGTGACAACACTACATCGTGCACAGCGCCTAGGCTCTAGTTTTTTACGAGAAGCAAAAAGCAACGTAGCCAGGACCACCAGGAAAGCCAAGAGAGAATACTGGCGAGGCAAGATAGCAGAGGCCTCAGTGGGGAAAGATATCTTTAAGATGATCAAATGGGCCCATTCAACTGGCTCCTTTCATTCCCCCCCTCTTGTAGATGAAGAGACTGGGCGAACGCGAACAACCCCTAGAGAGAAAAGAGACCTTCTGCAACGGGTGCTCTTACAGAAGGCTGCAAGCAGAGAGGATATCCCAATTAGCTGGTCCAACCCACCATCTGTCAAATTACCTTTTCCTGTTGCCTCAGCACATGAGATACAAAGTTCTCTGCTGAACACGGGTAATACCACTCCAGGAACTGATGGAGTGCCAACAGAGGTGCTACGAAAGGCATGGCCACATATTAAGGTATCAGTGGAAAGGCTGTTCAGAGCCTGCCTTAGGGTTGGCTGGCACCCAACCTCCTTTCGAGATGCCACACTGGTTGTGCTGCCTAAGGTCAACAGAGATCCAACACTCCCGCGATCCTACAGGCTTATAGCCCTTCTCTCAACGTTGGGGAAGGGACTGGAACGCCTGGTAGCCCGTAGGCTGGCCTGGACAGCTATACAAGAGAAGATTGTCCACCCCCAGCATTTTGGAGCCCTCCCTGGGCGGGCTGCCTCAGACCTAGTGGCAGCGATGGTTCATGATATAGAGGAAGCCTGGGCCCATGGAAAAGTAGTCTCTCTTCTTACTCTGGACATCAAGGGTGCTTTTGATGCTGTACTCAGAGGAAGGATGCTGCGGAGATTGCAAGAACAAGGCTGGCCACCAAATTTAATTAGATGGGTGGAAAGCTTCATGACAGGACGCACAGGCAGGATCAGATTGGATGGACTCCTGGGAGAGCTCTTTGATATCCCAGCAGGGCTTCCACAAGGCTCGCCAGTCTCACCTATTCTATTCATGCTGTTTATTCAGCCTCTGTTCTTTCTAGGAACTATACAAAGAAGACGTGCACGCTTAGGCTACGCAGATGATCTAGGACTGCTTAGTGCTGGAACCACTCTTGAAGGGAATGTTGTTACTCTCCAGGAGGATTTCAAGTTGCTAAATGATTGGGCCAGCAAAGAAGGGCTGACATTTGATTTTGCCAAAACTGAGATAGCACACTTCACACGGCGCAGAACCCTTTCAAACCCCTCAATCAACCTTGAAACAACATCTGGCACTCACTCTATTACAGCAAAGGCAGTGAAAAGCTCCATAAGATATCTAGGAATCTGGCTAGATAGAAAACTGAGCTTCAAGAAACACGTGGAGACCATGGCGGCTAAGGCACGACAGGTGTCTAATGGCATACGAGCACTAAGCAACACAGCAAGAGGCGCCCCAGTACAACTGCTTAGACAATCCATTCAGGCCTGTGTGCTCTCTGTGCTCTGCTATGGAGCAGAGGCCTGGTGGCCTGGAGCCACACGAATGGAGAAGGGAAAGGAAATCTCCAATCGAATGGATTGCCTAGTCAGAAAGCTAGATCTAGCCCTTAGAGATGCTTTGCGAGGGGCACTGCCAGTCTACAAGACCACACCCATTTCAGCTCTACACCGTGAGCTAGGAATCATGCCAATGAAAGAGACACTAGACAACCGGCGTGCTGTATTTGCAGTAAGAATCAAAAAGCTTGACAAGAGGCACCCGCTAGTGAGACGCTCTAATAAAGTAGCTACCACCAAACCCTATACCACACGTCTGTCTAGAGCGTCCAGTCATGCTGGTGGGATAGAAGCATATGACCCTCTACTCACGCCCCCTTGGATGAGATTTCCCAGGAAAGAAGATCTGCAGATTGGGTATGTGGCAGGCCGCACAAAGGAACAGGCAGCACAAGACTTTAAGAGCTGGCTACAACAACGCAATCCCCTGGATCTGGTGGTCTTTACCGATGGTTCACAGATAGAGCACCCTCAGCGTGCGACTGGTGCAGGATGGGCTATATGCTGGGGTAGCGAACACCGTCTAATCTCCACAGGAAACCTGCCAATGGATAAAGCAGAGGTCTTTGACGCAGAGGCAATGGCAGCCCTGCAGGGCCTAAAGGAAGCCACCACCTCGCCTCAGGCGAAGTTTGCCAGCAACGTCTACATTTGCCTAGACAATTTGGAGGTAGCACGAGCCCTTGGATCCGTGCCAAACACCTCTAGCCAGCAGGTCTTCGCGCAGTTTCTGAAAGCCATAAAGGCCTGGCAGAGCAGGGATAGGCTCCCATTGGCCACCCAGAGCAGGGTGGTCATTAGATGGGTCCCAGGCCACGCAGGCGTGGCTGGTAATGAAAAGGCAGATCTTGAAGCCAAAGCAGCCGCAGCGCAGGCAGCAAGTGCAAGCATGGTACCTCAACCTGACAGCATAGGCACTCTAGCTTATATAAAGCGACACACTATGGAACAAACCACACGGGCCTTTGAGAACTACTGGGCCAAAAATCGGCCCAAACGCTATATGGAGCTGGAGATCCCACTAAAGAGAGCCTCAACAGAGGTAAAACTTTCACGCTTCACATTAGGAAAGCTCTATGCCGCCCGATCAGGTCATGGAGACTTTGCAGCCTACCACAGCCACCTTAAGCATGAAGATGCAGAGTGCTACTGCCGGTGTGGACATAGCAAAACTCCAGAACATTTCTACTATTGCACTCTTGCAAGAAAAGCAGCAAAGCGGCGCCGGCCTATCTACAATCTCCGCGAGACACTGGCAACCTCGCGTGGGGCCCTAGAATTCAATAACTGGCTAAGAGAAACAGCCTTCTATCAGAATATCTGTCCAATGCGCCGTCGCGCACCTCCAGATCAGATCCCACAGACCATTCTCTCCTCTGTCTTGCCCCCATCTTCCTCACCACCTCCTCCTCCTTCCTCTCTTTCCTCTCCTTTCTTTCCTTCCTTGCCTTCCTTCCTATCCGCCTCCCCTACCTCCCTCCCACAAACCTAAAACCTCTCAAAACCTCTGCTCTATGGCAACCGACCCATGGGCTCTGCCGGTGCAGCAATACGCAACCCATTTTTGCCTCATTTGTAAGATAGCTACTAGATAGGTAGTCGCCTACGGGCGTAGCTCTACCCGCCCTATAGTTCGACGCGGACTCTACTAGATCACGTGCCCTTAAGGCACGTGGACTAACCGGGCGTTAAATAAAAACACACACACACACACACACACCATAACTACACATACCGTCGTCTCCGGAGCAATACCTGCAAGCTCCCATATACAACTTCACTAGTAAACATGGATCTCGTGGCAAGTATTCGAAAGGAGGGCAGTCGGTAAGAGAACTCATTTGTACCACGTTATACCCTTCATCTCCATGCAAAGTGAGAAGAGAAAAGACAAGCTCCAAACTAACCATTATCCAGCGGCGGCCGCGACTCGTTCAAATGGTCCGACGTCAAAGAATCTTCCCACCGCGAAAACTACCTGGGCCACTCCCTCATGGCCCCCGTTGGCCGCTGGCAGAAAAATCGCGATCTATCCTGGTACACAAAGGGGGATCAGGAACGCGAAGATTCCGCCGAAGACGCCGCTGCAAAACAACAACGGGAGCGCGAGGAGGAGATTAAACGTGTCAAGGAGGTTGAGCAGGAGGTTATGGCGCGTGCACTGGGGTTACCGGTTGCGCCCAAAGGTCCCAGTAACCCTAATATGATGCCGCTGAGCCGGAAGGATGTGGGGAGAGCTATTAGGGAATCTGGTGCGGCAGGCGGGGAGGGCGCTGGTATGGGTGATGGGGCGAAGGGTGTTGGCCGAGGGGAATTTGGTGTAATGAGCGGTGGTGGAGGCGGTGATGGGGACATGATAGAAAGGACAGGAATGGGTATGAAAGTGGTGGATGAAGAGTTGGACCGGAGGATGGAACGGGAAGAACGGAGGGGTCGAAAAGACGATGAGCGGCGAAGGAGAGACAGGAGTAGGGATAGAGATCGTGGAAGAGACAGGGGGAGAAAAATCCGGAGACATGATAGTGAACATGATCGTCATGACAGACGGAGACGTCGCTCGACATCTAGGGATGCAGGTCATGGAAGAAACAGACATCGCTCAAGATCACCCGAGAGGCGCAGACACCGTTCCAGGTCGCGTGACAGAGACCAGTACAAACGGTGCCGTCTGTCTCGGTCGCAAAGTAGGGGATCGTAGATCAGGGAGAGAGGAGAGAATTCCGCGCCGAGAGCGAACTCGGTCTCCCGCAGACATTCGCAGTAATCATCATCTTCACAGGGGAAACAACAGCTACGGCCGACAGAGACAACCTCAGAAAGCATGAGATGAAAAATTAACGAAATAATGAGGTTTGAAAATTTAATGGTTTGGCAGGCGTCTGGCGTTGGGGCCTCCTTTTTGGAGCACAACCTTTTATACTATTGTAAGCATAAACGTACTTCTACGGAACAGATACCCCGCAAATATCAAATCCCTTTCTATCTATAAAGAAATGAGAAAATTTCCTGTCAGTGGACGATAATTTTACAATTCCTCATGTCCGCTCTTCTGTTCTGCGTTCAAATCAGGCATGATCATCATCTTCACCACCAAACTTGTCCATCCTGTGAAATGCTGCGTTCGTTGACCTGCGCCAGTCTCAGGATTGTACTGCTCCCAAGCGAATCCAGTCTTCTTCCACTGGTCGAACACATTCTCCACAATATTCTTGCGCAGCTGGGTATACATTTCGCGGGCTTGGTCCTGATGCGGTCCTGCGACCCCAGCGACATCCTGTTTACCCATGATAGTCAGCAAACTTTCCGATGATCCTCAAAAAGAGAGAAAGAAGAAAAAAAAAATGTACGGGCTCCACTTACCAGAAGGTTCTTGAGAATCAGGTAATTGATATTTATCCAAATGGGGCTCCTCCAATAATTCTCCTCCGTTCCATAGAACTTGTCCTTCTTGCTCAGACTACGGATACCATAATCACTCCACAGTTCTTCTGGATTCTGAATAAGGTCAAGCACAGGTCCCAGCCGTGGACTATCAGCTGGTATCAATCCTGTCATAAAAGGAAATATCGATACGTATCCCTTATGGCAGACATGCACATGCTCCTCGTAATCGTCAATGGTTGCATCACAATAAGTCTGAGCAGCTTTGTCCCAGTGGAGATCGTCGATGTTCCGCGTAATCGCAGTCTCATAGACGGTAAATTCCTCCACGTCCTCAATTTCCCCCAAGGCTTCAGCTATCCGTCGAATGGCACGGGTCATCATGCCCATCCAACTTATCAAATCTACATGCAATTCACCGGGATGGGGCGGTTGGGGTCTGGGGTAATCGTCAAGCCCGGAAGCGAGGATGTGTTTGACAGATCGTCCTCGCCATCTATATGCTTCCTTCGAGGAGAAAGCTTCCCGGTCATACGATTTGATGTCGCCCCACTGTGTTTTTTTAAACCAGAAGTAGTGGCGTTTCAGTAATGGGTAGATGGAACGAAGATATGAAATAGCCAGGTCCGGATTCTCCAGGTGTATTGAACGGATATCAGAGAGCAAACCATGCATTTCAATCTGCTCATGGCCGATGGACTTGTTCAATTGGAGTTTGTCCACAAATATCTCAAGAATCATAAATAGGGTTGGTGGATTTGCATAATAGGGGTGTTGAACTTGAAATTCAGCAGGCACTTTGCTGTGAGCTTCGGTACCCAAAATCTGTTCCCGTGCTATCCATCCATCTTCGTCCATGAGGTTGAACCAGCTCTTCGTTATTTCCAGGCTAGGTCAAGTTAGTTGTTGATAGTAAGCTTGGTTGGGACCAGGAACATACGTTAAATCGAGGTCCCAGTCAATAATAGGGATTAAATGAAATCCTTCATCCCAGAGGAAACCTCGCGGGAAGAATGGCCGGGACGGGATGCTGGTGAATAGCTCTGATGGGCCTGCTAGGATTGGATCGGCTCGCATCCGTGCTTCTGCAGCCTCTTCCCAGAAACCCTCGTCTTCTTCTTCATATTCTGGAGCATTAGACCGGTCGACAAGCGAGTTGCCATAAAAGTATCCTATCCCACCAACCAAATTCGAAAACATTGCCTTGGAAAACTCGGTATATTTAGGTGCGTTAAAAGGTGCCAAAGGGGAAAACACCTCATGAAACTTTTCAGAAAACGAGGCCGAAGCACTTTTGATCTCTTTAGTGAGCTTCGTTGCTGCAGAATGTTAGAAACGAAGGTACCGTCCTAACTTGTTTAAAGAACAGGGATGGAAAGATTCAACTCACAGGTTATGGCTTCCGGCGACGAATCTGACGAAAAGAGAATATCGAACTTCTCCAAGTCAGCAAGTAACTATGGGGGAAAAGTTTATATGTATATACGTACCTCAAATGGGCCCTCAAAAACCTTCTGCACAAAATAAATATTCCCATCATCAACTTTGTTGGCGATGGTAAATATCTGCGCAGGAGGAGGAGGTTCCTCTGTTCCGTACTTATTCATGGTAGCGTCAATCTGCTCTTTCATATGGGCAAATAGAATAGCTGTAAAATTCCAGGATAGAAGTCAGTGTATAGTTCCCCTCCCTCACTGCAAATAAGTGGAGAAAGTGAAATATAGACATACCTTTCGCTTCCCAAAGTGCATCTGATGGTATCTGAAGTCCCGCAATCATTGTCCTATCCAATGGCTTCTCGTCATAGGCTGCATTGCTTCGGGGAGGGTGCGCATTACTCTCCGGTCCGCAAGTGATGTCGATAGTGAAGTCACCAAGCCCCATTGCAGATCCTTTGAACTTCACATCCCCTTCGTATCCCAGAGGGTCAACCTCATTCGCAACTTGGAGACTGCCCAATCCTTCCATTGCCGCGTAGAAAATAACCGTCGTCACTTGGTTAGGAGGAGCATCCGGGCGGAGAGTACCCTTGACACGGGCACCCCAATTACCTCCATTATTTCCACCGGGAACCTTTATAAAATCAATCGTAAGGTCTATCGTGTTCCCTGCATCGTGAATCGTCTGACGACCTCCCTTCCTAATATCGTACTCGTCCCATCCGTAACCAGCCATCCCTTCATTTTGTTCGCATGTATGTCTAAAGTCTTAATGGATGAAGTCAGTAGAGACAATAGCCTAATCCATAATACAGTGATCTGTCCGCAGAAAGCGATGCCGAATACCCACTCTGCTGTACAGTGTCAAAGTCATCTAGCTTCGCCCATATCAATCCCATAAGCAGACTTTGGGGAATTCGCGGGCGGACCCCGAAATATAAATTCGGCCTATATGGGCCCCATAATAGCGATTCATTGGAGGCTCTTCCTACCTCCTTTGCCAAGATCAGGACATTGTCGGGGGCAGTTAGAGGGTCTTGCCTGGCCGCGAGGGAAGCGGAGGAGAGTAAGCAGCATAAAAGGAATCGCAACGCAAAAAACATTCTTAAAATAAAATGGAAACTGAAATTTAAACCATCAGGGCCAAGCTTAAACTCCTCCGTACAGAGGGTGTAGCTATTTGCAGTGTCTTGAAGTTTATTGAGCTCGGATGTAGAGGTGAAAACAGCCTCAGAAATGTTGCTATCTGTCAGTTTGTTGCGCCGTTCGACCACTAGTTAAATATTTAAGTTATTTACTGTTGTTGGTTGGTTTCAAGCTTATTTGTTATCCCTGCTTCACAGTTCCACACCATAACGTTGACGGTTCACTTAGGTTTGCGACACTTTTATATATATTTAAAAAACAGCACACTTCATTAACTGGAGATGGTTACAGAAATTGCTTCGTTAAACCCCTATTCTCTCCCCTGTGAAGAAGGAATTACAAACGGCAAAAATAATAAATACACTCTGAAAGTAAGACTTGGGGCACTACATGCATATGGAAGAGAAACAGGAATAAAAATTAAAGGGGAAATATCGGCTAGGAGCAAGAGGAATACGAAAGGACAAAAAGGGATAAATCAAGGCCGGGTTGTATCAAAGGGGTAAACGCGCAGTTTGGGAATATAAAAAGAACAACTTTACCTGACTTCATGTCTTCCACTTCCCAGACATATATGATAAGAAACCACAGACTCCATCGGCAACTTCCAATCCTAGAGTAGAACCCCATTTTACAGAAATTTCCTCGGGTCCAAAGCTCCAATACTCGCACTCTTCGCCTCCCCTTCAAACACAAGCTCACTCATCAACTTCCCCGTCCCAGGTGCATTCTGAATCCCCCAACACGTATGACCAGTCGCCATAAAAAGTCCCTTAATACCAGTATGGCCGATCAACGGGCCGCCACGGGTCCCCTCTACGTTTGGTAAATAGCAGGCTTGCCGGGCAATTACATCTCCCTCCCGCAGCACCCTCGATACACTCCCAATGGAATCAATGATATCTTGACACCGTGCCTCATCAACTCGGACATCTGCTGTCGTCTTGGGCAACGGCATGGTTGTATCACCTTCCCCACAAGCATAAACGCTATCGTCTGGCCGCGCATAGATCTCAGGTGAGAGGACGGTCAGTCGCGAGCGCTTCCCTTTATCTGGAGACACCATCGCAAAGCCCGCAGGCAATGTAATGCTTGTAAATAGCGTGTAGGCAGAAACCGGTCGTGTAGGACGAACAACAACACTGTGCGCGCGAAGAGAAGATATGGGCGCGCGGGGGAAAATGTCCTGTGTCCAGGGCCCTGCAGCAATAACCACATCCGTTGCCGGAATGGTCTGCGAGGCCCCCGTTTTCTTCTCCGTAAACGTCACGGACTGCACAGCATCCGTCGAGTGATCGATATTTGTGACATGGCCTAGAGTAATCCTTACCCCTTTCTCCTCCGCCAACTTCGCCATGGAAGTCGTAAATAGAAAAGGATGAACCTGCGCCGTTTGCCCTGGCTGACCCATGTCTTCATAACTTCTCAGAGCCGGCACATCAAACCAGTCCAAATCCTCAGGAATGCCAGCAGCTTTTAATTGCCCCGCTGCGTAATGGTTCCTTTTCTCTAATGAAACCGGCTCATCAGTTCCCTCCGCAGGTTCCTTGGATTTGTCGAGCTGAGGCCATGAGCAGCCCACCGCCTCAAGTTGTCCGCAATTAACCACTCGATAGCCCCATCTTGCCTTTCCATTATGCTCCCGTGCAAGTTCTGCGTGTAATTTGTAGCTGAGTGGCACTATGTTGCTTGGATAGGCCCAGAGTGCGAGGAGCCCACCCGCCTTGCCAGAGGCCCCACCCGCAATCTCCGTCGCTTCCAGAATTGTAATCTTATGTCGCAACGGGTCATAGGATGGATGTCGCGTTAGGAAATAGGCTGTTGAGCAACCAATTATTCCTCCCCCTATGTGAAGTTGGTGTTATTTAAGCGGTCCATTTTACTGCGGGAGATGATGTTGGGGAAGGGGGCGAGTAGGTTAGGGGTTGATTAGGTCAAGTTACCTATCACAATGATGTGCCTCTCCTGGGCCCCCATAACGCAGCGAGATGCTGCCCAAATGATATTGGACTTGAGTGATTGGTATTTGGTTAAGATATATACAGTGAGAATATCTGATGTGGAACGCGTAGTTTTGAATGGTTCCTCCGATGTTTCGTGCTCTAAATGCTGCAAAGGCAGGAGGGCATGTTACGTCACCTCAAAACGGGATATTATAGAATTGGTCGGATTTAACAAAGAATAACAAATCTCCAATGACAGACATCCAAGATTGGGATTTACGATCTTTTTTCTGAGTACTACCTATACCACCTATCATACATGGATACATGGGTGTGGAAAGAAAGAGAATGGGAACGAGAATATCCAAGTCCTGGATGAGATTGATGCCGAAGCTAAGAGTCAATATATCAACGCCTGTATCCAGAAAAATGATCACAACAACCTGAAGAAACACAGAGAAACACGTAACGTAGGAAGAGTGACAAAAATGATATTGAAAAACATGGAATGAACTCGCTCGAAAACGCTTCAGAAGATGTATTGTTAATATAAATAAAACAAACCAACCCCCTTTAAAACGCATGTCCTACTCATCGCGTCGGGCTCAAAGGCCTATTGAAACCTCCCTGTCGGTTCATATACTGTCTGTACTCCGTCTTCTTCTCCTTACGAACCCCGTAGATATTATTCCCAGGTACCTTCGTATTCTGCGTACTTCGGAACGTCGTAAACCCCATCGTCTTCCGCATCAGCTGATCTAGTTCATCGGTATCCCCACCATCAATATCGATATCCATACTGTCCTCCACGGCTCGGGATTGGGATTTGATAGAACTTAGTCGTTTCGATTCAGAAGCCACCCCGTTAACCCCCGGACCCGCGTTCACCTTCCCCGGTTCGCGTGTATCTCGTCTATCAGATTTTACGCCCCGCGGGGGCGGTGGTGACCGTGATCTTCGAGATCTGGAAGTAGTACCATTCCGTGCCGGCGAGAGTGATCGCGATGGGGATCGCGATGGGGATCTATCACGGCCACGGTCGCGGAACCGACTAGATTTCCCATACTCTGCCAGAAAATAGTAGTTAGTATACGAAGTTCATGACAGTATTTAAACGAGAAACAAACAAGGCAGAAAAATGAGCCATACCCCGTCGACTGTATCTATCTCTGCTTCCGCTCCGATCCCGATCCCGATCCCTTATCCTTTCTCTATCCCTAATCCTTTCCCTATCTCTCCTATCTCTCGATCTGTTTTGGTCACGCCTCCTGTCATCCCTGTCCCTATCTCTGGACCGGGAACGATGCCGGCGTTCGTCCCCCCTGGACAACACGTTGCTCCGTCTTGCATCTTCCTTAGTAGGTGGCTCTCGTTTGGATGCATCACCATCTATGTCTTTGCCTGTACGATCACTCGGTCTGGATTTCGTGTCATTCATCTCCCACATGGTGGAGCTATCCGTCCTTCTCGCGCGTTTGGCTGGAGGTTCAGCCATGGTTGTTGTGAGGAGGATGGAACAAAACTGGAGCTCAAAATCTTAATGTAGATAAACGGAAAATTATGGCAAATTAGATAGTGTAAATCCACTCCCAATAGGTTACTAAGTTAGGAGGTAAGGGGATTTAGTCATGATCTGTTTTCTGTCTGCCCGCGAAACGAAAATGATGATATGTTGCTCTATTAAACAAAAGCTTGAAGGTTTGTCAAAATAACTGGCTGGTAACTTGAATCTTGAATCTTTACTACGGTGGCCTGTTTATGCCATTGTTGCTGCTGATATCAATCAACCAACCTTCGATTTCGGAAACGAACAGTGAAAGAGATACGGAGTACATCTGCATCAAAGGAAAAAACTAAGTAATCAAATAAAGCACCAACAAAAGGACGTCAGATCTGAGATATTTGGGGTTTTGAAGATTCCCATTCTATTTGTGTGGAGATAATGCCGTCTACAAATGTCTCCCACCGCCGCACGCATAATATTTTGCTCATGTCGAAACTTCTTAGCTTGCGCGATTTCGCATCTCCTTTAACACTTGTTTTAGATTCTCTAGAACAACCCGCCTCTCCCTTAATTCGAGAATATATCAGAAGGGCAAAGGTAATATCCAACACTCATTTTAGTCCTTTGCTGTTGGAAATTTCTCTCTTGTCTCTTGGTTCATATTCAACGTCGATTTATTATTTATAATTCCTCGAAAAAGAAGAGTATTGCATACACAAACTCTTTTATAGTCAATTTGCCGTTAATATTGGATACCTCCGTCTTCTGGGAGTATATATGTACACGATAAAAATTCTGCGTCTATTGTGATATTTTGAAAGAAAATCGCCGGGACTAACCATAATATACAACCTTCCAGCTATCGAAAGTCCATGTTATATTTGTATCCTTCTCCACCCTAATCCAACCAGATGGTGTCGACACATTTATCCCAACTCGACGAAAAAGCATGGCAGATATTGTGAAAGAGGTGCTCGTAACATCATCACCATCACAAAATTCTCCCTCCGCAAGAAGTGTGTGGACCCTTTTACAAACACCCCATCAACAGCCCCATGCTCATATCATCATTTAGGATCTCTTATAATTATCGATTCAGTCAATTCAATGATATCCCGAAAACGCGACGGGACACAACAGCTGAACTTGGCAGTATATCTGAGCTCTCTACTCGGACCTCCACCTACCAGCCCACAGAGCAATTCGTGTACGTCACTGATTGCCGTATACCACCAAGATATCCCCACACGTCCACAGAATCAGACACCTTACGCACCATCACCGCTATCTCTATTAACATATCTCGCCACCACGGTGCTCAGCGTGCATTCCATGAGCCACATCCTCGCTGAAAAGGCTGCGAGGGACAGGAGCTTAATGGCCCCATCCTTCGGTCTCGCGGAGGAGGCGGACGGTATCATCATTGGCGGCGTCGACCATGGCAAGGGCGCAGACGATGATCGAAATGGCCTCGTCATTGAAATGGAGCATCGACGTAAAAGCGGTAGGGGGGTTGTGGAATGGTATTATCTCCCACCAGAGTCCATGGTCCATCGCCAGCAGGTTAAGGAGATTGTGATGCTGCTGGACGATCATCCCCTGTATCGACGGAAGGAGGATCAGGAGGTTGTTGCGACAGAGGGCTGGGAGCCGGAGTCAACCTTTGAGTTGGGACTCACTGAAAGGCAAAGGAGGGAGAGGGAGGGTGTTGTGCTACCTTATTTCGATGCACAGAAAGGAGAGGGACCCGGTGAGGGAGGGAGAATTCTTTATTACATGGGTAAAGATGATGATTTTGATGAAGAGGAGGATGAGATTTGAAGTGATCGTTCTTACATTGCGAATTCGGATTAGGAGTGACCAAGGAAATGATGCGCAATGCAATCTCCTGCACGCTGGAAATCATTGTACCTGGACGTTGCTATAGTGGGACGGCACCCCCAGTAGTTGAAGTTGACTGAGTTCATCTGCCATCGCCATAGGGCCATGGCCTGTATGAAAGATATCACAGTGCCCTCAAAAAGTACGTCGAGAATAAAGGTATGCTGGGGTCTCTCTGATCAATTTCAAACAAGACAATGGGGTAAAAATTGATATCATTATAATTAAAAAGAGAGACGCTACTTAGAAAAACCGCCAGCAGATCAATATAAACATAATGAACCCGACAGCGGCAAAGGGCCCGTACTACAACAAGATGCCAATTAGAAACCAGTGCTTTGATCTACTAAAAGTCCAGTTTCAGATACCTACCTGTTTCAAAAGCAACTCCCAATTTATCCGCACTGCCGCCTTGCGGTACTTCCGACTGTCTTCTCTTAGCCTGCCGGACATCTCTCCCATCCGCTCCAGGCTGTCACCCCGGTACAAGAGGTCCTCGATATTCTTCGTCATGACCTTTGTTACATCTTTGAGCTCATCGTTGAGCTTGTCCAAGTTCTGGGATGTGCGACTATCCTGATATGTCTTCATTGTTCGCTGAATAAAATTGTCAAAATTAAGAAAGGCATAGGGTGGTAGCTTAGAGGAGAGGTATTGTGAAGCTGGGTAGGTGGTTGTGAATTCGGTGGCCAGGTCATCGAGATAAGTAAAGGCTAGTTTCCGCGGGTATGATTTGTCTGTAATGCAGAGGAAGCAAACTTCGTCTTGGATAATATAACTATATACATATAAGATTGAGAATATATAAGCGACTGGAGCTCCTGCGGCTATTTAGAAGCTTAAAGTAGCGAGGACCGCGTCTACTCACTGGAGGTTGTGTTGCCCAGATTCTATGGTAGCTCGCGTTTCCGAATTACGGTTCAATCGTTGACATATCTTTTTGGCATGCAATTTGATTTCGGACAATGCCTCTCCCTAGTAAATATATTTTCGAATTAGACAAATAATCTTTCGCCTTTCACTTCACCTCTCCTAAAGGGGGAGAATCCGTCGCAAAGGTGTGCAAAGGTAATGAATGCGCAACATCAACCAGCATCACCGGGGACATCACTCACCTGCCCATCATCCACAGAAGCCACAAGCGGGACGCCTAGATTCACCCAAAGCATCTGTTAATACAAGGGACCAGCCAATATCTCTCTCCGTGTTATCACAATAAGCAAAGGTTGGTCGATAAAACCCACCATCCAGCCGTGTAATCTGAGTTGATACAACCATCCTCGCACACAATCCGTTTCCTTTTCTCTTTAACTTGTCATCAGCTTCTTATCGCATCGTGGACTCCCTGTCTGAGAATAAATAACAGCAGCAGAGACGAACAGCTCCTTGTCTAGCTGTGTTTATCAAGCCAGATCTCGCTTGAAGCTTCCTTTGATAACGTTAGGCTGAGTCAGCAACAGCAGCGATGGGCCGGCCCCGTAAACAGAAGGCGGAGAAAAGCGGCAAACCCACGACTAGGCATGTCTATTATTATTCTATTTCTATTTTTTATTCTATAAGTCCAGCCTTTCCCTTACATTTTCTAGGCGAAAGCTGACTATATTGAAGACCGTGCGCAACCTGTCGTGCTTCGGGTGCAACAGGACCATCAGATGATGTTACGAATAAGACCTCCAAATCCAAGACCGCCGTCGCGAAGCAGCCCAAAATGACCCAGGCCGGTGTCAAAAAGGCCGCTGCCTCCAGGCGTGGCCCAGCTAGGTCTTCTAAGAAAGATCCCTGGAACGAAGAGTTATTGCTCACCAGTACCAAATCCCGCATTATCGGAGTTGATCTCGTGGTAAGTGACTAAGATTCCCAATGTTAAATATTATTGATGATAGAAGGCTGACAGGATGATATTCAGAAACTCCTAGCCAATCCCAAGGCATGGACCTGTCTTGATGAGGATGAGAAGAAAGAGATTATAGCTTTACTTCCAGATGACATGCAGCGGCATGCTGTTACACCAATTCCTAAAGACGGGCAGGACCCTGAAAACTATGTCATCCCTCCCCTTCCCGAATCCTTTGTCCGCTATTCCAATAGCTGGCGTGATGCTGTTCGCCAATTCCAGATTGACTTGCAAACGGGCAGATATGATCCCGAATGGCAGCAGCAGGCAGCTGAGGCAATGGAGGAGAGAGCCCAGGGCATGTTCGATAAGTTCAAGGAGGAGCAGTTTGAAGAGTTTTGGGGGCAGAAGCAGAAACTGGATTACACCGTAATTGCCGGAGCGAGTAGCAAAGTGAAGCTGGGGACTTTGGTTGAGAATGGTGTGGTGAGAGTCGGTGACGTGTGGAGATACTCAAGAGCCTTTGGTAGAGGCGGAGAGAAAATTCTATTGGAAAAGGAGGTCCGGGTTGGTGATACTGTATTTCCTGTTGGCTTTTAGGGTTTGCCACTAACCATGGTAAACAGGTTATTGACCGCGATGGCTCTTCTCTTACTTTCGCTATTCCCCCGGGTCAACGTGTATTTCTATTTAATAACGTTGATCCCGTGAATAGGGATGACACCGTTTGCTCTGACATGAAAGCGGAAGCCTCGAATGCTTCAACCTCTGGTGATGTTAAGGACAGCACTTCAGCCTCTAACCAAGTTTCCGAGGAGCAGGAAGTTGAAGTTGACCCAACCATCCACTCTACTTCAAGCCCTGATCCCTCAAGGAACACGTTCAATCCACAAGTTGATGGCACAATTACCAATAGATCAGCGGCCTCAGTGATGGATCGTCAGGCTGACGTATCTGGCAACCAAGCCGCCACTGAATCTACGCAGCATATAGGCCCTGCCAGCGTATCCGCTGCTGTGCCGGAACCTATGAACGTCGATAACCACAAGTGTAACTCCCGCAGCGGAATCACTGAGATCTCCGCTGATTCTGAGTCCGAACTATCTTCAGCACACATGAAAGGCCAACCTGGCCTTCTTGGAGCAGTTATAGGCGACAGCGGCGCTGATGCACCTGGGCAAATGAATGAAGACGTACCAATGGACACAACATTGGAGGCAACTGCAAGTGCCTGTTGTTCCAATTATTCACAGTCGAAGGAGCCGGTATCGGTCAA